TACCCCCCCCCACATCAAAAGCTGGATACGCCACTAGCTAAGACCCACTTGGAAGTAGAGCGTCTCCAAACCAGAGCAACTCCCTCCCAAATTCACACAAAAAAATATTCTTAATGATAAACTTTCCCGAGTGGGGACTTATCATAGCAAAGACACTTATTAGACTTTAATTAATTTGCAATATTTCCACCTTTTCCAAATATACTAATACATTATCGGTTGATTTTTGATACATTATTGGTTGATACAGTATCCGTTCCGTGGTGATACATTATCGGATACAGTTATTTTGTAGTTACATTATCCGTCGACACGTGATACATTATCGGATACAAATTTTACTACACTATCAGTCAAGTTTTGCTACATTATCGGTTAGTGATACAATATCGGTCAATTTGTGATACATTATCGGCTGGTGATACGTTATCCGTTGGTTACTACATTATCAGTTGTAACACCCTTTCCAACAACCTTCAATTTTTGGGTGTGTTTAATATGCCCACAGGATTAAACACTGCCGTGCTTGTAAAGTATATATGCATTCGGCGTATTGTAATATATTACCGGCACGCTTATAGGTGGCATTTACACGTAAAAAGCCTCGCTTATTGACGACCACTGACCTTTCCGAAGAACACTAAAAGGCCCCCCAAAAAGAGAGCAAAACTGCAAAATGTCATGAAATTTTTAAACCCTGAGCTCTTGGACTCCCCAAAATATACATGTGGTGTAAAGGCAGACGTTTTCGTTATGGGCATTTTTGTTTAAAGCCAACTGCTTCTTAAGCGGCACCTGAGCATTAACAATCACTTCACCCGAACTATACAAGAATTAGTTTTTGTGTCAGTCGTCTTATACAGCCTCATCAGACTCTTTTATATATCAACAAAACACCCACATACAGTCTACTCAAAGTTATAGATTGTTTCTGTAATCCACAAAACTTACCTCGCTTGAAAGTCAGTTGGTACTCTTATTCAAAAGTGCATGGGTATGTTACGCATTCATGAAAATAATTAATTGAACACGGAAATGTGAGGTTCGAATGGCACCGAATCGATTTTAATCAAATACAGTTAATAATTGTGGAAATTGCATTTACACAAATTCCAGGAAGCAGTGGTTATTTTGATCCCGCGCATCGATATCACAAAAGCACAACAAACAACTGCATGCGTCATGGTACAAAAATACATCTGGGATTTCCCAGCTTGTAGTCCACAATTGTGAAACGCAAACACGGACCCACACAGGTCAGAAGGTACATGGTATTCATCATTAGCAGTCGACGATATTCAAATGCTCATGCCATTATAAGTGTCATTTCTGGTTGTGTACTTGATAAGTTCAAAACGTGTTTTTATTCCAATTAATGCGGGGTCTATAGTTATAGGTGTTCTGCAATGCATAATTCTGCCAAGGGATTAATTGTAGCAGTCCAACAATTAATGATTGTACAATTAGACATGACTGCGGGGTTAAAGAGGTTGTGGAATGCCCGAAGACATTTCCGTCATTTTTCGGGTATATGTAGCCTAAGGTGTGATGAAATAAAAACCACTATTGTTTCTGTCATGAAATGAGTACAAAAGGTACTTCTGAGAGCTGTTTTTCAGGTCCAGTTTCGACCCGAACGTGCAACTGTGTAAAAGTCGTCGTTGCGGGCAGCAAACAAAACACAGTAAATCGTGACGTAATAAACAGGACTCCCGATGCACAGTAGCATACACGAGTTTTTTTTTTTTTACTCGGCCTTAACGACATTTCAAGTACATTGCCTCCAAAGTGGCACCTGAGCACTTATAACCACTTTACTGGAACTATACACGGATCAGTTTGTGTTTCGGTCTTCAATATACATCCTCATCAGACTCCTTTATATATCAACGAAAACATAACTTCAAACAACGATCTGTTGGATTGGTAATTTGTTAATCGTTAACAGAGATAGTTATTTAAAACACCCACATACAGTCTACTGGAAGTTATAAATTGTTTCCGTAATCCACAAACCTACTTCGATTGGAAGTCAGTTGGTATGTGTTTATTTAAAAGTGTTTGGGTATGGTACGCGTACATAGAAAATAATAATTCGAATACGGTAAAAAAAATATGAGGTTTGAATGGTACAGAATCGATTTTAACCAAAATACAGTCAATAATTGTGGTAATTGTATTTACACAAATTCCATGAGGCTGGGATTATTTTGATCCCGCTCATCGATATAAAAAAAAATACTGAACAAACAACTAGATGCGTCCTGGTACATAAATGCATTTGGGATTTCCCAACGTGTAGTCGACTATTGTGAAAAGCAAACAAAGATCCACAAAGGTCAAAATGGTGCATGGTATTTATCTTTAGCAGTCGACGATATTCAAATGCTCATGCCATGATAAGTGTCTTTTTTGGTTGTGTACTTGATAAGTTCAAAACGTGTTTTTTATTCCAATTTATGACACATTTGACTGGCGGGGTTAAGCACACAATAGTAGGTTGCGTACATGTCTTGATACGCTCCAGCAGGATTGGGGGGCAAAGTTCTTCTGTACGTACTTTGCGTGAACAGTTGGCTAAATGTTCATGATACACGGCATGGTTGTCGTTTGCCAAACTGCTCGTTAAGCACAGTATGTTTCCATGAAATATTTACCTGCCTAACATTTTAAATGTTGGCGTTGGATGAAGTTAACATAAACACGGTAGGCACTCGCTGCAAATAATTATAATTTTTAGTCGTTGACATAAACAAACAAACAAGCATATTATAAAAGCTCCCTAGGTCTATTTGCTTATAAAACCACGATATTAATTGTAATATCTGTAAATGCTGTCTGTCAATACCAACATCTAGATTAAAGGGAAAGTACATAAATGGCTTTTGCTGTAATTTTCAGAAATGAACTATTTGAGAGGTTAGTATAATAGATCAAATATTATTACACTGACATTTTTGAAGTTTGGTGTTCGAAAAGGTTGGAAAAACCAAGAAAAACAAAAATGTTCAAGTAGTCTGGTTCCCTGACTTCACAAAAGATAAAATGGATCAATTTATAGATGATGAAAAATTGTAAGGCAAGGGAACCAGTCTAGCTGGCCTGAACCCATTCATGAACATGTAACTAAACAAAATTTGGACTGGAAATTTGGACTGAACAAATGTTAAATTTGGAGTAAATTTGGAGCAGTATTGAAAAATAGTTTTTCTAACGCTGGTCGGCCGACACCGTTGGAAATGTTTACAAAAATATGTGTTTATTTGTTTATTCGTTTATTTTTTCCTTGTGCATGCGAATGCTTAGAAAGCTTAATTGGTTGCCTAACGGTATAGCTAATAAATCCATTTCGAGAGCTTTAATTGCATCATGTTTTGGTTTTCCTTTTAAGTAGGTAATGACAATCTCCGTGTTTAGGGGCTCGACGTTTGATTGAATTTTTATCCTGTTTAGAAAAAAAGTATACATGTTATTGCTGCGTGTATACACAAGTGCTGCTCTTGAAAGAATATTTCTTCAGCCTAGAATGATGGGCGGGGGGGGGGACACTTGTGCTAGTTATTACAAATATATACATCTTGCGCCCTACTTTCATTATTATTACTTGGCTTTACACCCGGTGTAGGCCTTAGCTCTGTATTTCTAATAAAAAAGGTACACTTTTGCAGTCTCTTGATTAATTAGTTATAAATAAATTAACGAAACAGTATTTTTGTTACAATTTTCCCCAACTACGGTTGATATTGCTACAACGTGGGGCAAGTAGTTTCATTTAAAAAGAACCGCTGCATTGTTTTTTAATAGAACTATTACCAAGTTGTATGTAAAAGTGTTGTATTGCAACAGCAAAATATTCACAAGTCAAATTTAGCATTAAGTATTTCGGCTTCATCTTTTTTTTGTCCTTTTTTTTTGAAATCCAGTGATTAGGCCAACTTCACCTGTATCAGATTTATTTTGGTTGCAGAGGCTTTCTTTTTGTATAACTACTTTTATGCTTCGAAACGTCCTGTCACAGGGATGGGTCCACGCTCAGATTATATTTAATATCTACACAGCCGACATGCCCGACACACCCTCCAAGAGTACCTGTACGTGGACGACTGTGCCTCTACTTCTCTAATCACTCTTTCAAGTCCATCACCAATCACCAAGGTTGAACATGACCTGACCTCCTTCTGCAATTACTTCTGACTAAAAATGAGCCTCGAGAAAACGGTCTGCTCTTCAGCTTACTGACCGTTATGCCTAGAGAGAGATGAAGGTCAATCTGAACGGACATTTAAAGTCCCTTAATTAAGTTGCCAGCCCATCCAGCAAACTAAACCTGCCGGCTGTACCCCTCACCTTGCAACATTTGCAAAAACGAAGATATTCCTCCGATGTTGATGAGTGTGAAGTCTGTCAGTTTACGTGGGAGGTACGGGCATTTCAAGCACTGATTGAAGAGCACAAAGCTGATGTGATCTGCACCACCAAAGCCCACTTAGACAGCTCTATTCGGAATTCTGCCATAGGAACTGTTTCCTAAGGCTTTTAACAATGTCTATTGGACCGAACACTTTCTGCTATTAAACATGAGTGCTTGCCTTCCTTGTCAAGAACTGGATACCGAGTCTGAAATTATTTGGGATCAAATTTTGCTCCAAGGATCAAGACAGGGACAACTCTTCTGTTAGGCTGTTACTATCGCTTAAAATCGCTAACCTTGCCGTCTAGCGAACGGAAACATCTTGATTCACCATTGGAAAAGATTCCGCACAGATCTCTGAAGTGTGCCAAATATCATTTTAAGCGGTGACTACAATGCCAAATCTATCAGTTGAGGGAGGTGGGATACAGACTTCTACATCATACCCATCTTATTGACATGTAAATAATGCACTTCTTGATTCAGCATATGTTCCGGAGCCAACACGTAGGCCTATCACTGAAACTACAGCTAACACCTAAGATTTGTTGTTCAGTTCCATTCCAAGCAGTATTGTTCAAGTGAAGTTCTACACCTGAGGCGCCATTCTCGCAACAGGACCACTGCTAACGCGACTAAGCAGCGCCGTGGCATCTCTGTCACCATCCCTACCTGCATGATGTCGCGGATAAATATCAAATGTATCCTGGGCGATTACCGCATCCCAGTGTGCTTCAAACCAGCCGACACTCTCTGACAGAGACTGGTGCATCCCAAAGACAAGAGCACCAGACCGAAACAGAGCAACATTGTTTACGGCAAATGTGAAATGTTGAGAAGGAACCTGAAGCATTGCTCCAAATCGGCAAAAATATCAGCGTGTGATACTCGATCTTGTGCCTCAAATCCTGAGTATGCATCAACTGTATGTGATCGTTCGAGGCAACATCTTTAAAAAAAATCAGCTTGAAATGGTCAAGAGTCGTGCTGCCTGAGCATGCATTGCTTACAATTATACTAAAGGAATGCAATTTGATTAATAGCAGTGCAACAACTGACCTTTATGGTACTTTGTACGCTTTAACATATGTATTTTTGTCTTGGGGGAATTCCACGCCATTGGAATTACACGCCATTATGCCTGTGGGTTACGTAGACCTAAATTCATACTTTATTAATCCAGTTGAGTCATATTTATCGATTCACATTATGGTAAAGGTTTTAAAAACCAAATTTCATATCAAAAAAGTTAATTTGGAGGTCTGAAAACAGATATTTTTGGATGACTTACCTTTAGACGATGCGACAGCTCGACCAACAACTCACTTATAAAAAAGGTGTGTGAATAGTCAATCACGTGAGAAGAAAAAGTGCGCGCGCCCTCATTCGTTTTGTCAATTGGCGTAAATAACTTTATGACCAGGGGAGATGGGCCATTAAATTGTCCCCGCCATATTCGTTACGTGAAATAAAAATCTTTTAACTTTCCAGTATTCAAAATGAATTGAAATAGTTCTGAAACTTTAAAATACACCGTTTTAATGTAAAGTTAAGAGACGTAAAGCAAGCGTGCAAGTTTGCATCAACAGCGCCCCCTTTACTGTCATGTGGTGTCCAGCCCTGCCGCCCCCCGCCCGCTTTCTATAAGGCATGAAACTTTATACAGAATGTTTAGTGTGAGACATATATTTCCTGATATGGAGGCAGCGCAAACTTCCCCATTGAGAGGCGTGGCAGCCATTTTGCAAAATGGGGGGATATTACTCATTGTGACCATTACCACCTTTATAATTTTCGTTTGTGGTGGCCATTTTTGCATAATGTTTGCTAGCCGATGACCTAATCGGGTAGCATACGTCTTACGCACGGAGGCACTTTACCAATGTTTTGCCCGTGTTTTTGTTAAAATGCTATTCGGGGAATGAGTTGTTCCAGTTCAACCATAGACATCTAACGAAAACCTATACCCGCCTATTTTATTACATTGTTTAATTCTGGATGCAAAACGCTGTCACATGACCGCCATGTTACGCCAACACTATTGGATATCCTACATTGTGCGTTAACTTAATGGTCTGGAAATAAATACATGCTCATGTCAGGTCTAGGGGTTTAAAGAATGTCTGCTTCACCATTACGATTGTCTTGTAGTTGGGCTGGTAAGGTCAAATATCTGATACTATTGTGCACCTTTTGACTAAAGCATAAAACTTCGCATGTTTGTTCTCCGTAAAATGTTCAGATGTAGAGGCATTTCATATATGACCTCTGGTGATATTTGAAAGGTCAGTTACATTTATATACTCTACTTATAACAACTGTTCTTGGGAACACCACTTTCATATGACCCAAGTCCATGTCATAGGTCTTCAGGCCATGATGAAAATAATGATCAGATGTAGAAAAAATCGTATTCGACCTCTTTTGACTTTACAGAGGTCAATGACCTTTGTATACCGTATTTATCGTTATTTATATGATTAACTCTTCAAACCCCAACTTTTTCAAGACAAGCCTAACTATTAGGTGCTCCAGCTATGAAAGAGGTGCCCTTCAAGAATTGAACAAAATTTGTATGCCCTTTTTATAGATATTTATAAGATTTACTATTCAAAAGCCAACTTTTTCATGACTCGGGTCTAAAAGTTGGCTCTTCGTGCCATGAAAAGACTTTTCAGATGTGGGAACATCATATCTGAACTTTGGTATCCTTGGGGAGGACAATAAATGTGTATACCTTATTTGTGACTATTTATCATGTTCATTCGTCAAACGCCAATTGTTTGTGCCCCAGCTGAGTGCAAAAGAAAGGTATTGCACCTATTATTGTATGGTCATTTTATGAATTCCAACCACACACAAACAACTGGAGTGACATTTGACCTCCATTTCCCTGTTAGTATTGGTAGACGCAACATGCTGCGACTTGAATAGAAGACTTTGAGACTTTCTGTACAATGGAATATGTACAAGAGTCTAACAGTATTCACCCTTGTGTACTTATTACACTCTGTTGTATGTAGATGGACTTGAATAACCACATTTTAACCTTTTTACCAAGCCCACTGGTCACTGTTAGAGTATGATGCATGTCCAATGTACCACGTATTATTCTGTATCGCCTGTGTCCGCCCTTAAAAAGGGAAATGGAGATCAGAGGTCATGAAAGAATTGTTTTTGGGGTATAAATTCATGACATGCTGTGGAATATTAGTAAAAATACACTTCGTTTGCACTACAGGGAGTATACAAGAGGAAACCCAAATGTAAATATAAAATAATGACAAAATCTAATACATATTTTCAAATGCGATAAAGATCATGTGAAACGCCAATGTGTCCTCTTTCCAATGATACCTTGATTTGATTTTGTGTCTGTGGCCATGGATGACTAAACATTCGTTGTTATTCTGTCAAGGGTCAAAACCTGTACGGTTAACCGTACCTGGCGGAGCTTGATGGCTGGTGTCTTACGCAAGGTTGACATGGACTAGACATCGTGCAGAGCTTTGTGTGGAAAGAGGTGGTGGCCACGTTAAATGCATTGGGTCTGGGTTAACTTCAACAATAAGAGTGTTTAAATCACTGTGTCGAAATTGAATATATTGGTTTAAAAAATGATGTCTTCTTCTTTTTTTTTGAATCAAACTGATCCACATGCCCAGAGTAGCAGTTATCCTTTTGCACGAACTTGGCACGGTGCAGGTTTTGACCGTTGAAGATAAACTACGAATGCTTAATCATCCGTGGCCACATACGCATAATCAAGGTCTCATTAGAAAGAGGACACATTGGTGTTTCACGTGATCTTTAACTTTATTATTTATGTGAAAATATTTATTAGATATTTTATAATTTACATTTACATCTGGGTTTCCTTTTTTTTTGCTGATCCAGCCTGTATTAAGACTTGAGTCATAAAAGTGGTCTTTGAAAGATTAAATAATAAACATAATTAGCGGCAAATAGGGTTTACGAAGTAAATTCATTTACCTCTTAAAGTTCACCAGTGATCAGATATGAATGTTCACACATCTGAAATTCATATATCATTGCAAGAAGACCAACATTTCGGAAAAAGGGGTTTTGAATAGTAATGTATTTTATAAATATCTATAAATAGGCATACAGAGTTCATTGACCTCTTAAGGGTCATTAGGGGTATAATATGAAATACCTGTACATCTGAAAATTTTCTTCATGGGATGAAGAACCAAGTATTCAAGGTTCCATGCCTTAGTTACAAATTTCACAATTCTGTCACTCAACAGCCACACTATTGGAACAGATAGTCTTTGTGTTATTGCAAACTACATTTGACAGTAAAGGTCACCACCGAGGGACACTATACATGTAACTAGTTTTTGAGTAAAATAATAGTTTCTGTGATTTGGTCCTCATAATTAGATTTGTTCGTTGGAAATGTGTTAATTAATTAAAAAAGCAAAAGTGATGCACAATTGTTATTGTAAAGCAGATTATTTCCGATACTGAAGCGGAATCATATACCCTTTGAATAGCGAGCCGCCTTGCAACGTTTCACCTTAAATGGCAATACAAAATTGCACAGTTGCAAACTTAGAAACATGACCAAAATTATTGTGAAAGGAGTATTTTAAAAACGTTCCCGTCGTCATCGTTGTTGTCATAATCAGTGTCGTCATCAACATAGCACTGGTTTCTGCCCTCAAAACTCTTCAAAATGAAACGCCCGTTCAGACCGATTCTCAAATTCAGACGAAAATGAATGACTGATTTTCAGAAGTGAATGAAAATTTTAGGAAATTGGCCTGGAAAACGTATATTAAAAGTGTGTAAAGGCCTACAAAAACAAACAAGCAAATTTATTTGTTATAGGACATAATAATCGGAAAAGAAAATCGAAATTTCGAAAAAGCAAGTCGTATACCAATTATAAAAAAAATGTCGTGAACATTTCAAGCTTGACGATGCAGTATTACGATGATCTCTCCCAAAAATTAGATGCTGCGTTGATGGATTTTTTTCTTTCTTTTACCGATATTCTTAGCGCCGGTTTTACCCACCTCAGGGCAGTGGCGTAGGGGGTGGGGGGGGGGGGTGCACAGCCAGGGGCTGATCCAGGAATTTTCGAAGGGGGGGGGGGTTCATCGTCAATCTCCGAACTAGTCTTCAACTCCCAAAATCCATAGGTGGGGGATAGGGGCTCGTACTATACGTTCAATGGGGGCGCTGTTAAAATCTGTCGATTATTAAGGTTCACCTAAACTAAATTATATTTACCTTAACAAAAGAGGGCGCTATTTACTATTCACTATCATACCACAGGCGCTGCAGCCTGGCAAGAAACACGCCGCGACTTTGAGATTTACTGTTTGTCTTTGAGTGTGTACATCTGGTTATAAGGCCTTTCCCTTTTCACGCTTTTCTCGGATGCTAATTAAAACACACAATGATCTTTGTTTCGTATTGTATGCACTTTTTTCGTAATCTATTTTATTACGGATTTATCTACCATCTTCTGATATTCAAACTGAATTCGGCATTTTTTGTTCAATACTCAAAACAAAGACATACACAAGTTCATCTTTTTCAACACAAATTTGTACAAAAACGTATGCACTTTCACTCCTGAAATATTCGTTTCTTTCAAATTAATACAAACATTTTTGAGCAACTATTTAACTCAACTTCTATGGACCCCAAAATGGCTGTATATGTACAGCGTATTACGTATACATTTTGTACCTTCACGATGATCCTAATTCATCATAGAAAATACGAAATAATTTGCCGTTTATTTTCAATTTATTTTCAATTTTCACAACAATAAATGTATTTCTTTCTTTCTTTTATTTACTAAAGACTGATTCTTCTGACCGCAAATGATCTATCTAGTATCAATGTCGCCGCCGAGACTAAATTACTTCAACCGGCCCGGATACGGTTTTTTTCAGTCCAACTTTGATACGTAGGCCGTAATTTACAAACTTTATCGATACGATTTCTGTTAGTTTTATACACACCAACTTTTAGTATTTTGTAAAAAGTATTGAACTCAATATCATGTTTGTAACATAATTCATTGCAATCAACACAAAAAAGTCATGATACGTCATCATACAATTTACATGAATTTGTGACTTTTTAAGTTGATCATGCCGTATCTCACAAACTCAATTGACAGATATTTGCACAAAAATTATGTGAATTGAAATGTTTTTGGCGATTTTCCTAAATCGTTACTTCGATTCATTCCCCAATCAGGACTAAATTGTGTGATTGGTCAATTCCAATGCAGTGTTTTGTAACACAACAACAGCCGCGCGCGTACCGCGTAACATAATACAGAGCGCGTGACACAGCCTTTGTTGCTGTGTCTAGGTTTTCATCCATGTCTTTGTCGCAACAACGGGTAAATAACCGACGACCCGATACAGAAAGCGCCCGCTGATCGGTCAAAATGTAGAGGTTAAAATGCGGTTGATTTCATAATTAATCGGTGAATCTGCTCAATGGTCTATTACATAGACTACTATTATTGTGGGAAGCTTGAAAATATTTTTAATATGCAACATCCCAAGTGGCGTCAAAATGACGTCAACAGTTCATGTTTCATTATACATTTTTATTTTTATTTTTAATTTAACTCACAAAATTTGACACCGTCTTTGCTCAGATCAACTCCAAGCCTTTGAGCAAATGGAAATACATCTTGATTCATTGCTTATCTGTATAAGAAAACTAATTACTACCACCATTATTTATATTAACGAAAGTGCATAACGCCAGAATTGCATAACGCCAGAATATACCCATGAAAATGTGAACGTTTATAACCGATGAGTAAAGACAACAACATTTAAAATTGAGTTAATGATACATAAACAGGTTTGGTTAATATTACTAAAAACAAAACAGACTCATCATGTGTACTCATGCATTTAAGTACTAAATACTTAAATCATTAACTCGTAGCGTGAAGTATTTACGTCATAAAAACACAACAAAGCTAAGTAAAGCTGGAGCAATTTATACACTTTAGGAAATTGTAAGGTATAGAGAATCAGTCTAGAAGGCTTTTATCCATTCACAGATGTGTAATCAATTGCAAAGAATAGGCGGAATAACCAAATATGAAAAACAGCCAGGCTTTTTTCAACGCTGGTCCGCCGACCAGCATTGGAAACATACATTTTCTTTAAAAGGTAGGCACACAAGGAGCCACGATTTTACAGAATGCTTTAGACTGTCATTTCCTAACAATCCAGTAAGGTATTTCGTGATGATTTGACCATTGCGTTTTTTTGCAAATGTTGTATCTTCCCTTTAAGGCAACAGTGTTGCCTCAGTTTAATTGAGTGGATCGACAAAATTTTTTTAGAGCAGATATATGCAAGTCAAGTAATTTTAACCGGATAAATTTCCGGCGTAAACTATTGAATGTTTCAATGAAGCTAATTTAGTTTCCGATTTAGTTAACTTCCCATTCAGTTGAACTTCAGATTACAATCAATGATTTAATTTATGGATAATTGGGGAGGAAGTAGAAAGCTTTGAGCATGGTCTTGACGCACTGCGGCGTTTCCTTGACGGGAACATCACGTTTTAATTCCTTGTCGTACAGCTTGCCTTTCCTGCTGTCTACTCGAGCTCTTACCTAGACAGCACCAAAATAAGAGAAATCGCAGGTGATAAGTATGATTAAAAACACAGTTCATTTTCGACCGTTTTGTTCCATATCTCATCTTTCTGTGATATCTTTCTTCGAGATGGAAACTAGCGACTCCCTTGACTTGATGAATTTTAGATTATGGCGTCGACAGCTTTGAATTGGAGGCCACGGACATTGTGAAGAAATTTGGCAACTTCTCATCGTTGTAATAATATGTAATTTTTGATTATGGGGACATGTAAACTCGTTCGCTCGGATCTTATTACATGGTCTCATATTTGCAAATAGAGACTTCTTCTCGATCGAAAGAAGGGAACAATTTTGATGCAATCGTTCCCAGGTGGCTAAGACTATAATTGTTAGTCGCACCCGAGTCCCACTCCTCATCATGCATCCATTCTAGAGCACAATTTCTCACCTTATTCATCAGTGTATCTAGATTGTCCAGATGGGCTCGATCGAAGAAGATCTCACATAAAGCTTGAACGAAGAAAGAACCACTGACCGTATTTCGCAGAGAAAGATAACCTGTAAATAAACACATAGGACTCATAGACCTAAGCTGGTATTTGAGCATCGTATTTTCAATCAAGGAAACTATAGCAATGGTCTTATGAGAAGTTTATGAATTTATAACATTTTGGTAAAAAAATATTAAAAGGATAAAAAGATTAGAGTATTAAAAGGATAAAAAGATAACGATTGATAATAAGGAAAAATCTAAAGAAATATCGATGTGATTTGTTTTTCAATTTTCTTTCCAATGCGTGGAGATGTCATTTGACACTCATGGTAACAATTATATTTTACATTTTTCATTGCACAATTTAATACAAATATGAGTTAGTGATAAGTACTGATTACGCACCGTCCGTTGTTGCATAAGCGAAGTGTACATCCGCGGGGTTCCCAATATCTGCAATGAAGGTGTCTAGTTGTACCGGGACTAACTCTTCAAGTTGGTTAGATTCTTGGGCACCAGACGCAGTGTTAGGCCCGTCATGACTTACAGGTAGTGTGGTAACAAATTCTATTTTTCAGGGACACAGACACGAGTTTATCAAAAACACAAGACACAGCTTGTCACTGAGCACACAAATCTGTTCAAGCGATTCAGAATGGATACAGTCACATCAAGTCGTTTCATTCATCTAGCCTTCACAACAGAAAAAAAATCCTATTTCACGATTATTGACGTACGTATACATTTTGCATTAATTCAGAGATCACATTTTTGTTATTTATACGGTAGCTAGTTTGTGTTGTCATGAATGTGATAACTTAACATTTATAAAAACATGATCAGAGAAGGGGACAGACCCAATACAAGCTTCGGCAAATTGTCTGACCTCCACATACTATTTTTCACAGTTCTGACAATGGTATGAAAATATATTTGGAACCTGAAAGCTGGGGCAAGTTCGCGCAACAGCCATTAGTCGACCAATGGTTGGTTGGTGTCAAACAGTGCGCTTGCGCTATAACATTAAAGTGCGAATGACTCTAGTCGAACCGTTGTCAATAAATGGCGGTCACGAGTATGATTGTTTACGCTTTTTTACCTGTTGAAGAACCGAAAAATATCTCCGAGGCCAACCAGCAGGTAGTACAACTCGCTACGTTTAATCATTTGTCAATGGTTCCCTCTGCACTTTACGGAACGAGGCTATTGCTAACCAGCGATGCGACCAGGCCCAGTAGGCTGGTTCCAAATAGTCGACTAGCGTAGTCCAACCATCGTCGACTAGACAGAGTTCGGGCTAACTTAGTCGAACTATGGTTAACAATAGTGCTTCCCCTGATTTCAACTGTTTGTAACCAGAAAATGGGGTCGTTAGAACGCCCTCAATTGGAAGGAATTGTACTCACTTCCCCTGCACGCCTGCACGAAGAACATCTTGGGTTTCCCATCCAGCCCCGGACATTTATGGGGTTCCAGCTCCCGCTGCAAATCTCCCAGTTTCACCTGAACGTCATCAGTGCCGTAAATGACTCCTGTATCGCCGTGGCTCATCAATGCTATCACGGCTGAGTCGTGAGTGTGATTGAACTCGGAGGCGAAGTCCTTGAAAAACTTGGTGATATCCTGTAGAGGAAATCAACGAAAGGATAAAATACACATCATTTAAAATATTTTGCTAAGAATAAAATTCCTTGCAATACATTGATGAAAAAGTGCGCAGAAAAATACGTGGACGCTCAATTTGTTTTCCGCCAAAAGACACTATAAATTGGACAATCACGCTCCATGCCATACGCACGTGCAAACCAGTGATTTCGTGACAACCAGTGACATGCGAGAAAGACAGCCTTGAAGTCACGGCATATGCTCAGTTAGATAACTAGTACGGGCTATGGTAAACAGTCTTCTCTCGTTGGTTATGGGTTGACCAAAATAACGAATATTTATTACTACTACATAATAGACCAGTTTCCTAATAAATTCAAATTCATGCACGCATGCGCATCAATAGGCTTTGAAGCATAAAGCGAAATCTGTCCATTAAAAATGTACAGGTGGCAAACAAATTTTGTCATTTTTTTCAATTTCTCCAGGATTTGTCCCAGTTGTCTTTAAAAGTCCCTGAAATCGTCATAGGTATTACTTTCTGGTCTTTTTTGGAAGGTACGAAATAAAAACTTTTAAAAATGCTTTAGAGTGCCAAGAAATAATTGTGTGATTTTGGGTACCATCCACGCCGGCGCAAATGTTTTTTACCGTGCAACGGACGGTCACGTTGACTGGAGATCGTGCTTAAAAGCCCAGGCCGTCCCACACGAAAATCACGCTGCTCTATATTGGTCAGCGGCAAAAAAATGCAACATTCTCGTCCAGCACTGCTAGTTCTTCAAAGATAGCAAAGGCAACATTTTCAATTCTCAGATATTTATTATTCAATAAATATGGAAGCCGGTTCGTGCCAGGTTTAAAAGCAAAAAAAAAAAAAAATAACGCAATAGTTTGTGAAATAACGCAATAGTTTGGCGAATTAATGTAGTAATTTTGCGAAATAAAACAATAATATTGTGAATGAATGCAAAAAGATATTTTTCAATCCTCAGATAGCAAATTAAGTAATACTATCGCGTGTTAATTTGCAATACTATTCCATTTTTGAAATAATATATCAATAAGCATTGCCTTTTCTGCAATACTGCAATTTTTTTTAAAGTGATAAAATTTGAAAATTTGATATATTTATGCGCAAGCGTGCATGAATTTGAATTTATTAGGAAACTGGTCTATGCATCAAAGTTCAGTCAACTTCGTATACGTGCGAGCGTGTAGAGCACGTTTGTTTTGTGTGCAGTAAGCTGTCAAATGCGGATCCAAGTTTACTGGCTTTGATTGAATATCATGTTAAATATAAGCATCAGAAATACTCGGCCGAATTCGGCCGAAAATGTAGAGAAACACATAAGGAATTAGCCACGGTTGAGCCAAGGTTGTCTTTCGCCTCAACTGGGGAATGTTTACTGTATACTGTTTATGGATATATGTGTGTGTGGCGTTCGTACTGTGATTGTGCAGGCTAGCAAATGGGCGTGGCGCTGTGCCATGGCGAGTACAGTTACATACAACGGGTACCGGACAAATCAGCCTAATGCTGTACGGTAGCAGCCTCTCGCTCGTTCAGGGAACAAGCTAGACAGCCTTGGTCAAGTCTAGATTATCATAGGAGTCTGCTTTTCATATGACACCGGTTCCAATGGTTCCAATGTAGACTGTTCACAACCCCCATAAAATACGGGGACCGGTAGCTAGTCCTCATTCAATTTAAGGCCATTAATATTGCATCATCTCAGCGTGCGCAGTATGATCCTACTCTTGCCATACAGTAAGCAAAATCGCCAATGTCTCCACGAAGGCAAATTTCAAACCTTTCAACAGCATTGGTTTCAAAATACTGAAAATTATGCCCCTGTCGTTAATATTGATAGTGATCTGAGACACTTTCAAATTCGAAGCTCATCCCCACACAAACTGCACATTAGTGGTAGCCGTTGTTGACATTTTGCAATAGGAGCGTTCTGCGCTAACATTACTGTTGTGATTTTTGTGTTTAGGGTGCAGGAACCAGACCTAGGCCAGTCCTGCATATAATTTGCATACATTAGGAAGAAAACCTCCTGAGGATTCATTGACAGATACCTGAAGGACAAAGAAGCTTCACGGTGTTTAGTGGGTATAGCTTAAGTTGAAATGACTTCACACTTATTAAACCATTGATATGACGTCACACTATTGTTAAAAGTGTTGATTCGGATCTATTTAACCATTGCTATGACGTCACACTATTGTTAAAAGTGTGGATTCGGAACTACGAATCTGTTACGCTGGTCCCAAAGTGTGGATTCGGAACGAAGAATCTTTAGTAAAGTGTGGATTCGGAATTACGAATCCACACTTTGAACACGTCAGACAATTGCTCTCTATAATGAGCATTAATAGGACCGTATGCGTGAAAATTTCCTTCCAAAATTACCAATGCATCTTCCCTGTCAGATTTTCCGCCGTTCGTTACTGCAAAACCTACTTCGAGTCAGAAAGAAATCATCGTCTGAACTATCAATTTGACGACGGAAGGAGCAGGGACAAATGTTGCAACCTGACGCCACTTTTTTTCTCCATATTTCATCTCAATGAAGGGCATTCATTGCAAAAAATGATGATAGACATGAATCTGGGACTGAGAAATATTTCCAATACTTTTAAAAACAATTCTTGACTCTCCATAGACGTTGTACACAATCGCAGAAGTGGCGTCAAGTTGCAACATTTATCCCAAGTCTTTTCATCTCCACTCACTGTAAATGCAAATACTTCTTTTGACGCAATGGTTTAAGTCGAAGAATACACTCGCAAGTGTGGATTCCTAATTTACGAATTCACTCGGCGCTTCGCGCCTCGTGAATTCTTAAATTACGAATCCACACTTTCTCGTGTATTCTCCTTAACCGAATCGCTTACACTGGTCACAAAGTGTGGATTCGGAACGACGAATCTTTAGTAAAGTGTGGATTCGGAATTACTAATCCACACTTTGAACACGTCGGACAATTGTTCTCCATAAAGAGCATGGATAGGACCGTCTGCGTGAAAATTTGCTTTCCGAAAATTACCAATGCATCTTCACTGTCAGATTTTCCGCCGTCACTGCAAAATCTACTTTTAGTCAGAAAGAAATCGTTGTCTGAACTATCCTTATTTAAGTAAAGAGCCTGTACACACAAAATGACTTGTACGGGTGTGTCGATACACATGCTAAACACGCTAGGAAACAATGTTGCAACCTGACGCCACTTCCGCGCTTGTGTAAAACGTCTATGGAGAGTCTTATCAAGTATTACCTAACAATTTTGGAAACATTTATCAGTCCCAGATTCATGTCTTATCATCATTTTTGCAAAGAATGACCTTCATTGAGATGATATATGAAGAAAAAAGTGACGTCAGGTTACAGCATTCTTTCCAATACTTCTGTTGACGCAATGGAGCACTTCGCGCCTAGTGAATTCTTAAATTACGAATCTACACTTTCTCGTGTATTCTCCTTAACCGAACCGGATAGGTGTACATGACATTTATTTTTTTACCTCTCCTTTAAGATTCTTGTGGCAACTTGGTGTGTATCCAAGTTCTTTAAAGAGATGTTCCATATTTGCCGTATCAATCTGTGAGCCTTCCCGCCGACTGTTTCGGTTGAAATCGATGTTGTTTAGAATGAATGCAAGTCCTTTGCACTTCGACTTTACCTCATAAGTCTGTAAATTGTAAAAAACAAACAAACAGAAAACACTCCATACAATGTCATGTGGGCTTAAAAATAAAAAGCAAAATGACATTTACTACGATCTACAAAAAGCCTAAATTCGAAGTAACATAAGTGTATGCTTCCATTACAAGTTTTGGATCCAGCATATCCGGCGTGGGTCCAGATGTCTTCATCTTATGAGCTGCATAAGAACCTTTAGAGTCGGGCTCCACTGCAGACAAGTCATCTGCAATTTGGGCAGCATTCAAAGCACCTTCATTGTGGGAAGAAATCGACAAGCATATTAGTCAGGTGGAATGGGTGGAATCGTTATGGGTGGAATCGTGACCGACTGGTTCAAAGCACCAAACTTGGAAGATGAATTCTTCTAGCCCCAGAGAAGATAATTAGGAGTCATCGAGGGGCGAAGATACAGGGGTGGGGATGCACGCCCTCTATACCCCCCATAAAAAAAAAAAAAAAATCGTCGCCTCCGAGTCACCCCCCCCCCCCCAAAAAAAAAGTAATAAATAAATAAATAAATAAATAGCAACTGGAAATTTGGCAACCGGAGAAAATCCATTACTTAAAAGTAACAATGCTGAACTTGTTTAACATAAATTTAGTGTTTTTTCCAAATTGTTTTGTTTATTTTTGTCAAGAAAACAGCGTCCCAAGGGGAAAACGGTACCCAAATCATGTATTCCTTTGAGCATGAAAAAAATGGTGCCCCTGTGGGTAATTCCAGCGTTAAACAATGAAATATAATATAGTTAATGATTCAGTGGAAATAATGATCAACACGTCTGGTTTTAATACAATAAAGCTATGTTGTAATACTTTTAATATTGCTCTGTCACAGACAATGTAACGCGGCTGGAATTTTCAAAATTTCAAAAACATGAATTCAAAGGTCCGTAAAGTTTCGTTAAGAAGATTTTTATTTACCTGCCCTCTCTGGCGGCGCAGCTGCTTTATTGATAGTGAGGGTGACTTGACTACCAACACTGATAGGGTTGTAAGAACCGTCAACACGGTCGATGGATCCGATGTATGCACCCTGTTGTTGTGAATCTAAAACAACACAATCAAAATATCAGCACAGTATAATTATCGCATCATTCGCCCATTTAGGGCACAGTTTGTTCATTGATATTGAATGAAAAATGGTCTGCGTGTTTTGGGGTGTTTTTTTCCTTTTGAAAGACTTGTTTTCTAATGAGAAAAACAGTTTGTATTTTTCACTTTATGGCTGGGAAATTTCATTAGATTAGATTTTTCGCTAACTGTAAGCAGAGGCAAGAAATTGGGCCCCGGACCTAACGAGAATCCATTTGCCGAGGTAACATCCCTTTGATTTCTTATAACAAAGGTGGAGCTTAACTTAAAAATCTAATTATTTAATGTCTTTGCTATGAAAGTCAACAAACTATTATGCAAGAATCATATTTTTCTTCTAGCAAAACTAAGGGCGATTGATAATATAGTGAGATGTCTTTTACGAGGCACCGTACAATCACACAGCCCAGAAAAATATATACAAACGCGCACTCAGTGCTGTGAACGCGCTAATATCAGCCCTTTTCTGCCTGCACACCAAAGAGTGAGTGTCGTGTGCAAATTCAAATGAGCAAAACTTGTAGATTCTTTACATTTCTATTGTCAAAATTCAGGTTCTCTGCTACCGCTTGGCTAGGTTAAAGTTTATTTAATGTGGACGAAAGGAGAAATTTTGGGGTGAATTAATCTTCGCAATCTCAAAGTTTCAAACACCATGTGTCACATGTTGATTTATTACAATACGACTGTTTCATGTCAGGTGCAATTTGGAGGGCTAGTTCACAACACAGCCGTACACTGGCCAGGCGTTCGGGGAACCGGGGAATCTTAGGAACCACACTTTGAACCAGGAACCTGATTAAGATATTAGAACCAAGAATATTAGGAACCTGATTAAAATATTAGAAACAATTTATAGAGCTGGAAGTTGAATTTAAGTTATATGATTTTTGTAACACTTGTTTTGTGAGTTAGATTGAGATTCAGATCCAGAACTATTGTAATTGATTCGTAAACAAGTAATCTGTAACACGTTCATGCGACCAAGCATGCATAATGTGACTCCTAGTGTATTTGTGTCTGTTTGACTAGCGTCCTTAAATCTAATCATTTGAGTGGACCACCTTAATGGCGTACCGCTACAATAATATATATTGGGATGTTATCCCGGATTGCCATTAATATTGCTTGAAATTCATTTCGTCTGCATGCTCTTCTTTTGGCTTCATAAATATTGAGATGATTTCAGTCTGAAATAGATGGTACGGAAAATTTTGATTATAATATGGCATGCCCATCGGATTTAAACCCAGTATTATGGTCAATATCTTTCATTCAGGATAAACTTCCTAAAATATTTTGAAACTCATCACAAATCAGATTAGAGTAGGCAATCTAATGTCACAACCGTGTTGAAGGGAACATTTTGACAGAAAAAGGAATAAATTGACCACCCCTTTTATTGAAAGGATAAGGGTCGTCACTTGAAATTATTGTTTAAAAAACACGGCTGGAAACACCTTCCTATGATGGAAGTTGAGGGTGGTGGAAACGTCCGACCCCTTACGACACTTGGTCATATGTTTTTAAGTACATGAAAGGGCCAGCTCTGCACTACCGGTACAATAAGTAGTACTTAACCCCGCCCCATTAACGAGTTATAATCACGAAACATATCAAGGCAACCATTTCAGGTAAAATGACTCGTTTACCCCCACTAATGCCCCCACCACCACTAACAATATTTACTATAGGGATGCCATAAACATGATTGGGTTTTTGTCTACAAGCAGTACCAATACAAATCCGGTAAATGCATTTTGCTCAGCCAAAAAATGGACTAAAACATTGGTCGAAGCAAACGTGTTTATATGTACAACACAATTTAAATTAAAACAAAAATGGAAAAAGGAGATCTCATTTTAATATAGAAAAGAAGTTAAATTGCAGGGCCTTAGTTTTTTGAACAAACAACCGTTGGGATTTAATTAATTGCTGTAATAATTTGTTACTTCAAAAATACCTGCAGTGGGATTTCCAGACAGAGGATTTGGTGAGGCTGTACCTGCATCAGAAAAAGGATAAGTGTAAACACTACTATAGGGTGCAACCGAGTTAATAAATTCACATAGAGACCAGTGTTCAAACTCCATACTTCCAAATTCTTTGACAAACACTCAAAACTCTCACAGGTGTTTAGACCGCACAATAAATATGATTTTCAACATATCGTCTTTCATTTTCCTTTCACTTTTTATAGTTACTAGGGATGCCGTAAATATGACTGGGTTTTTATCTACAAGCAGTACCAATACAAATCCGGTAAATGCATTTTGCTCAGCCCCCCCAAAATGGACGAAAACATTGGTCGAAGCAAACGTAATTATAATATGTTCAACGAAATTTAAATTAAAACAAAAGTTGAAAAAGATAAAAAGGAGATCTCATTTTAGTATAGAAAGGATTTTAAATTGCAGGGCCTAAGTTTTTGGACAAATAACTGTTGGGATTTAGTTAATTGCTGTGACAATTTGAAACTTAAAGAATACCTGCAGTGGGATTCCCAGACTGTGGTTCTTGTGAAACTGTACCTGCATCAGAAAAAAAGTCAAGTGTAAACACTGTAATGAGTACCTAAAGGGGTATATTGGAAAGTTCTGAGAGCCATACGATTGGGAAATTGAAGAGATATGATAATGAACCTCTAGCCCGGTCTTGGGGCTCCCAATTCTGAGTATCTTGGATGCAAATTGGGCTCGAAAGTGGCGCTTTTTTGCCTTGTTGTGGAGGGATCGTTTTTCAAGATGGCTACTTTTCCGCTTTGGGGAAAATAGGGGTCGTCTTCTTTGGGTGCGAATATCTCGAAAATTCAAAGGTCAACCCTCCAAAAAATGAAAAGCAAATGAAAGATGATATGTTGTTCATCATTTTTCTGTGCAATTTGAATACCTGCGAGAGTTCTGAGTATTTTTTAAAGAATTGTGAAGTATGGGCATTTAGCACTAGTGCCTAAGGGATTTTATATACAGGGTTGCACCCATAAGGTTGCAGACCAGTAAATAAACTGCCTTAGACCCCAATGATAAATGCCCCAACTTCAAAAATTCAGGAATAATACTAACAACTCTCCAAGGTATTCTAGACACACATCAAATGAAAGCTAATTTCATCATCTTTTATTATCTTTTATTTTTTTTAGGGGGGGGGGAGCTAACTGAGACTTTTAGGAGAAATTTCCATCCGAAGATGACCACCCCTTTAAATGGTCCTGAAGCCCATTGCCATTTTGAAAAAACGACGCCTACACTCCATTGCAAAACAGAGCGCTTTTAGGGCTCCAATTTCATCCAAATTGCACAGAACTACAAGCTCACAGTCCTGTGCACAGCTTCCACCCATATTTTTTACAAACCCTCAAGTTCAGGTCCCACAATTTGCTCAAATAGCGAAGAATTCGAGGGCATGAAAATCGTGATTTGGCCAGCGTAGGCGAATTCGGACCGATTTAATGGCCTGCAACCTAATAAGCGAAGTTTTGAAAAAAAGACCATTGCTTCCAAAATGCTCGAAATTGGAAGCCCCAAGTCCAGGCCAGAGATGCAGTGCCCTTTGTCTTCAATCCTCAAATGTTATGTCTCTAAAACCTCTTTCGACGAATAAGCGAAAACCCTGTTTCGATATATTTGCGTTTGAAGTTGGACATTTTTTCTGGGCGTCGTTTTTTACCCTAAATATTTTGATACTAACCCTTTTGGTGTATATTCGAAATAAAATAGGAAACGTATCCATCAGGTCATTTATTTAATCAGAAAAGTTGTGCGATATGATTTATTTGATCGTAAACGTATTCCTTAGTTTGTCAAATTACAAACTCTCCAATAGCCGGTTGATCTTTACACCGTTTGTATGCTATTCGTCAGTTTGTCGGATTATGCGCGCGTACCAAATTCGTTGGTACTTTGAACGCACACCTCACATAAGCTGGTTACCAGCGAAATGTTTGAATGCTATTCTTCAGTTTGTCGGATCGCATGCACGCGCAATCCGACAAACTGACGAATAACATTCGATGGTACTTTGAACGCACACCTCACATTAGCTGGTTACCAGCGAAATGTTTGTATGCTATTTGTCAGTTTATCGGATCGCATGCACGCGATCTCCGACAAACTGACGATTAACATTCGTTGGTACTTTGAACGCACACCTTACATAAGCTGAAGAAAAAAAATTGAAAAACATGAATTCATAGGGCCTGAAAGTTACGTTACGAAGATTTGTATTTACCTGCCCTCTCTGACGGTGCAGCTGCTTCATTGACAGTGAAGGCGACTTTACTACCAACACTGATAGGGTTGAAAGAACCGCTAACATTGCGGATGGATTCGATGTGTGCACCTTGTTGTTGGGAACCTAAAACGACACAATCAAATAATCAGCACGGTATAATTATCGCATCACTAGCACAGTTATGGCACGGTTTGTTCATTGATGTTGAATGAAAAATGGTCTGCGTGTTTATGTTTCCTATTGGAAGATTTGGTTTGTAATGAGAAAAAAAGTTTGTTTTTTTACTTTACAGCTGGGCATTCTCAAAGAGGTCGTCATTGGATCTTCTTTCTTGGATCCTTAGCATTACTCACCTGCTGGTCCGGATGGTGCCGTGGCCCCCTGTTGCATCTTGGTCTTGTCATCGTCCGTTTGACCCTTAACACAATGCCCACTCAAGGTTCTCTTCATCTCGATCCCTCTTTAAAAGCCCTGTATGTAAATTTAAAAAAAAATGAATAAAATAGTATGAATAAAATAGTTTCTCAAATTCTTGTTATACATTTTCAACGACCTCACTTTGCCAAAGAAAACTGAGAAGCAAAACTCTCAACTCAAAGTGACGGTCATGGGGAAAAAATCATAAATAATGAGCTGCTTGACTACCAAAAACGTACATTTTCATAAAGTAGACGTATTTTTTGAGGGCATTTAGAGTCAACTGCTTCCGAAGTGCCACCTGAGCACTCATGACCACTTACTTACGGAACTACATTATTATGATTTGATCTATTGATTTCCATGCTTTCTATTGTAGTATACAAGGTTTAAAGAACATGAACTAACCGTAACCCTAAATTCGAATTAGTCTTTGTATAAGTCGTTTATACCTTCTCGGCTCTTTTACTTTGACGAAAACCCAACTGCAATTGGATCGATATTTTGTTTCTGAAGAAAAGGTGATACTACTGATAAACTGTTTCCATAATTTACGAAACGCACTTCGCTTTGAAGTCATTTGGTATTATTTAACTGGCATATGTACTGTATGTTTACATTACAGTTATTTGAATACGGGGGGATATGAGGTTTGAAATGGTATAAAATCGATTGTAAAAGAGTTATGTGATAATTGTACACAACACTAAAAAAAAACTGTAATTATTTTGATCCTTACGAGCCGCGCATCGATATAAACAAATAGCAAACAAACAACTATCAGTCTTGAAACACAAATACGTTCGGGATTTTCCGACATGTCCAAAGTTCACAACTAAAAATGTAAACAGTGATCCACCTGACCCAGGTCAGTCATTTATCATTAGCAATTGTTGAGATTTGAAAGGTTTATGCTAATTAAGTATCATGTTTGGTCGTGTACCTGATAAATGCAAACACGATTGACCTTTGATGACTCAACCAGTTTGATGTTGGATGACGTTTCGCCTGTACGTGTATGTTTTATTACAAGCTCGACATCACGAGGTGAAATGTACATGTGTGTACTGTTCATGTTTTTTTTTAACACTGCCGACTATGCAAAACTGTCTAAGCACAACAAATGAACAAACCAACTCGGATATATTTGAGCGTTTAAATCTCCATTTTAAATCAGGAAAAGAACACTGCCTGACCGTAAAAGTCATCTCATGCTTCCATTTGTATTTCCTATTTCTGACGGGCGCTTAAAAACTACACTATTTATAAAACATATCTTAACACCAGTTGTATCACTATACGAATAAAAACGAATACATCATCACAAATTAAACCATGACAGATATTGTGGAACTCTCGAATGCGCCTTATGCCATTATAATTTTAATATTAATTCACCGTACAGCATGGCTGCAAGAAAAGGCTGCACAAAGACACAGAAACATAAGCGTCCGTCCAAAGGACAAGTTCAAAGTGAATGAGGCCGTATGTATACTGTTTACTCCCACTTTAACACTGTGTCGGCTTGGTTACCCGCCAGCAGTGACGAACAGTTTGTTGCCACGCCTTCAAATACCATGCCAGACGACTTCCCACTCGTGCTGTGTTGATTGAAGATTTAGAATATTAAATGTATTGTAATTTAACTGCACTGCAACATATTTCGCATCCATCACTTACTCAAACGATCGGAATGTCTCTTTCATTTTGATGCAGATATTTTGAGACAGATACGTTTTCAATCTAGTTTTCAAAGTGTTCAGAGTTTGGGAATCACGTAGTGACGATACATTATATATGCCACTTTTCTTTTGTTGTGTACTCTATTTCATGTTTTATTAATACCAGTATTTACTATAATAATTGGTTTGTTATAGTCTTTGTCTTTTTCGGATTTCTAAAAATTAAACTGCTGCTGTACTTCAAAGAATCTGTTTTGTTTTAATTATTTACGAGTCACCATTATTAAAAAAATGTGTTGGTATTCAAGAAAATTGACAATGTGTTCATTTTTTCCCATTTCCTGCTCTCTGCTTTGGTCAGTTGAGGGAGACGAATACACTACCTAAGCCCTACTTTACGTGGCACCATGCATATGCACCATCAGGATCAACATCGACCGCCTGATATCTTCTATACCTGAACAATATTCACAAAAGAGATTAGAGATCATGTGTGTGTTGTTTGTGATTCAGTGTTTGATTCAAAGGCTCAGACCGTGTGGTACTGTGGTAATGAAATCTGATGTCAAAATTGATCGGCCCATTAACATTGAACATTTGAAGCGTCTAATTGACATTATTTAAGCCGGTCAGACTGACGCCACTATTTTGACCATTGACTAACGTTAGTAAACTTAATTTTTTCACTGTTATTTCGGTTGTGTACTGTTTTTTGGTTTGGGGCCTAAGAATGCCCCGGGCAGGTCGACTTACCAAATCGCCGAACTACAGTGTTGTGGGGTCTCGAGCCCCCCTGCCCGTAACCGGGATAAAAACCAACACTTAAAAAGACGAATATAACCTAGAAACGAAAAGTCACCGAACGACGAAAATGTCACAAATAGACGAAAGAGATAAAAACACACAATAGCTTAAAAAGCACACACAGTCAAAAAGGTAAAAAGACTAGAATCAAAACAACACTAAGGCTAAAAATCTTGCAAAACTTGATCATAAAAACTTTAAAACCATGCTTTCTAAAAACAGAGAAACAAGAAAATTTCACATTTGTGCCTTGGCTGTATTCCTACTGCCTGTAGCACAAAATATTTGCAATAAAAGGTGGCATAAAACTGCTGCTGATATTTTGTTTCTCTAAATTGAAGTCCCGCTGCTACAGAGAAGAAAAGTCCGTCGCGTCCCCTCCAAACCGGTTATGCTAGCCATCACCGCACCTGCCCGCCCCGACGAACAGGCATCACAATTGCAACACCCGCCCGCCGGCACGGAACAGGCCCAATGGCGCGACTCGCCCGCCAGTAAGGAAAAAACCTGACGAACCTTGAACAAAGAAAAAGCAAAGCAAAAGCAGACAAAGAGGCGGATGAAGAATAAGCAAAACAACGGCAATAAACAAAATAAAGGATACTGAGTCCGTCTCCCAAACCGAAGTATGGGGATACGCCTGTCCCGCTGCGGTAGATCCTAAAGGGTTCCTCGCAGCGTCAGTGATGTCTCGATCTTTCCAGGGGACAGGCGCCTTTAGTCCCTAACCTGAAAAAGAGAAAAAAGGGGAACTAAAATTTACCCTGACAAACTCAGTATCAACCTACACTAACTTAAAAATACTGAGGGGAATTGGTAATAAAAGCCGTTGCGGGAAAGCTAGAACTTTGTGAAAACGCGGTTATCTCTGACAGAGACAATTGAACCGCCAATTTGCCAGAGAGAAAGAAATTTCTTTCTCTCCAGCCGCAAGAAATCCGCCTCAATGCGCCTTGAAAGAAAAGACTGAGAGGAACGTAAAACTGTGAGGGAATCGACAAAGTTCCCGTCGAATAAGACTTGACAGCGGGACTTCCAAATCTGCCACTTTAATACAGAAATAACAAGCCAAATGAACTTGTCGTTCTTATTTGAGGGATTAAGGCCCTCAGCGAAAAAAACCACTGCTGGGGAGATGGCGAACGTAGGACCGCAAACACGCACTCCCACGTACGTGGCCCAATCCCACAGCAGGGCAACAAAAGAACAATCCCACAACAGGTGCTGCAGCGACTCATTGTTATTACAATTAGGTCGGGGGCATTTGCCTCTGCCAATGCCCCACGATGAAAGCCGCTGAGCCGTCTTTACTGCGCCCCAGACAATGCGCCAATTTAAATCTCGCAGGAAGTGGTCTAGATGTCTGTTTACTATGAATGGGTACTGCAAAGCAGTGTAATATACATCTGTGCGTGGGAGCGCCACAGTGACCTGTTTAAGAAACAAGTTATAAATGTTATTTACAGTGACGGTGTTCCAGTTGATTGTCCAAACATTAGGAAGAGCAAGAATCAGTTTACAGAAAGTGACATGGATACGGGGAGCCGTCGCAGAGTGAGGACGGCTATTAGAAAAAAGACCAGTCGGAAGGAAGTTACGAAGAGAAAAGGAACACCAAAAAAGAGCTAAAAAACTCCAAGGCGGAGCTACTGGACTGCAAAGGGAGCTGAAACCCTTAATGAAAAGGGCATCAGCTTTAAATCTGATGTTGGTAACGCCTAGTCCACCGCTGTCAACAGACTGACAAACAGTAGACCGGCGTACTAGTTCCGTCTTACCAGACCAGAGAAAGGAGAAAATTATCTTGTTGATCCTCTTTTCAACGGTGACTGGCAGCGGATAAACAGGAGCTATATACAAAAGGTAGGAAAAGAGAACTGTATTAATAACTAACACTTTGCCAATCAATGATAAAAAGCGTTTACTCCAACTTTTCACAGAAGACTGAAGTTTAGGAAGGCGATCCTCCCAGTTCTTGACCGCCATGTCTCCATTACCGACCCAGAAGCCATTAATTTTAATGGGTTCTCTGGTCCATGAAATGGGGTAGAGATTGCTAAGTTGTTCTCTCCATTCACCTAATATTAGACCTTTAGACTTTGATACATTAAGGCGAGAACCACTAGCTCCTTGAAACATGCTGATGATATTAAATAGTCTGTGAAGAGAAGGAACATTTCGAACGATACAAGTTGTATCGTCCGCATATTGCAGTATTTTACACTGCATGTTGTTGCTTCCTGGAATAAAAATTCCCTGAATTCCCTTGTCGTTGCGGACAGCCGCAGCAAAGGGCTCTATAAAAATGACATAGAGAAGAGGTGACAGGGGGCATCCCTGTCTAACACCTTTCTGTAAGGAAAACGGATTAGAAAGGAAACCGTTAGCAAGAACTTGGCTAAAAATATCTGTATATAAGATTTTGAGCCACTTAATGAAGTTGGGCCCAAAACCAAATTTGTACAGTACTTTGTGGAGAAATGACCAATTCACTCGATCAAACGCTTTCTGCTGATCCAGCGAGATGAGCAGAGTGTTTAAATTTCTCTCCTCTGCATAAAACACGAGGTCCCGCAGAAGTCGGGCGTTATCCTGTATGGATCTCCCTTTGACTCCGCAGGTCTGAAAAGGACTAATAATTGTGGTTAAAACAGAAGAAAGACGGTTACAGAGCGTTTTGGCAAGAATTTTATAATCTACATTCAATAATGAAATCGGCCTTTTGTTTTGAGGCAAAGAAGGGTCGCCGGGCTTATCCAACAAGGTGATAATGCCGGTCCTCTGTGAATTGGCTAAAATATGAAGATCAAAAGAAGTGTTAAAAACACTTAGTAGATCAGGACAAATAAGATCCCAAAAGGTGGAATAAAATTCCTTCGGTAACCCATCGCTACCAGGGCTTTTGCCGTTTAGCATGCCCCTTAAAGCTTCATCAAGTTCGTTGGTAGCGAGAGGAACCTCCAGATTAATAATGTTCTCTTCTGTAAGAGTGCTCGAAATCTGATCTAAAAAGAAAGATTGAAAGCTATCAACAGTATCGTCTGCTGAAAAAAGAGATGCATAAAAATCTTTATAAATATTAACAATTTCTTCAGGTGAAGATGAAGCAGACCCGTCAGGGCGCTTAACTGTGGGGATGGAAGAAGCTTTCTTATGGTTAAAATCAGTGCGAAAAAAATTGCTAGATGGGTGCTCTCCTTCATTTAAATGAAAAATGCGAGATCGCACCCTCGCTCCTTCAGCTAGAAAATTGTCTAACTCAGAAAGTTGAAGCTTAATCTGGTTATACTTTGCAAGAATGTTTTTATCATTGTTCCCTTGGTTAAGAAGGGCGGTAACCCGTTCCAAGGAAGCAAGAAGACGAACTTTCTCTTTCTTTCTATTATTTGAAAGACGGCAAGAATGTGCTATAATCAGTTTTTTGCTGCGAAGCTTCACTTCTTCCCACCAATCTAATTCGTTTTCAAAACCTTCTTTAAGAGTTCTCCACCCTGTATATGCTCTCTTAAAAGCTGTTTGAAAAAGGGGATCAGTTAAAGTAAAAGTGTTACATTTCCAGTACCCCTTTCCTCTTTCTGGAAGAGGAGAAGGATTAATATTTAAAACAACTCCATCATGATCTGAGAAATAGACAGGCAGATGTGAAATAGAGGAAAAATTTAAGATATTGGAAATGTAGAATCGGTCAAGCCGACTGCAAATATTATTTGAAACATTTCTCCAGGTAAAATATCTATCTTGAGGATAGGTAGTCCTCCAGGGATCTATGAGGGAAAATTCGTCACACACGGAACGAAGTTCCTGGTGACCTATGTCGCATGTAACAGAGGAATTACCTATTCTGTCAAGGGTAGAATTAAAAACACAATTGAAATCTCCAGCTAAAATGAATGGGCAGTTACCTGAAAGGTACTGCGAAAGATTATTAAAAAAGTTCTTTTTATGAAGGGGGTCGTTTGGTGCATAAACTGAAATGAGTTTTATGCGTCCACCCGATTCTTCTAAAAAACAACTCACGATTCTCCCCTGAGAATCAAAATTAACGCCGGACAAATTAAAAGAAGCACGTGGATTAGAAATAATAACAGTACCGCAAGAAGAGGATGTGCCATAGCTGACAAAGATATCCCCTTTCCACTCCGATTTCCAAAGTTGGAGATCAGAGGGGCATGTAATGTGGCACTCCTGTAAAAAACAAATATCGTAATTAAGACAAAGATTAAAAATTTGCTGACGTTTATTAAAATCACGCATTCCATTAACATTTAAAGTTAAAATGGAGATCATTGTGCTAAAAAGGATAAAAACCTGGAGAAAGTTCATTGAAATTCAAAGAGGATTATTTACAGGTATTTTTTGAAGAAATCTGCCTTCTTCCGCAAGGCTTTGTCAGGGTGTTGCCTAGCAATGTGCCGGGTCCACCTGGTGGGGAGACACGCCGAGTGTGGACACCAGGGGCACTTCACCTGAGTGAGTGAAGAGTCATTGTGCACACTCGACGTGTGTCTAGAAAGCCCAGACCACGTCTGGCATGTAAAAAGGCATTTTGGTGCCCTGCATCTTGCAGGCTCGCTGAGTCCTGGGAGTTTCAGCCTGGTAAGATGATTTAAAACTTTTCCTATTTTCATAGGGTTAACCCCCGACGCCTCATCGTTGTCCGTCGAGTCCTGCTCCTGCTCGGACTCAGATGAAGCGTCAGAGGACGAGGAAGAGGAAGAACTACCTGCGTTAGAGGCGGAGGAACTACCAGTTTTAGCCTGCTCCTTTGGAGGGGTGGAGTCCATAGATGAAACGCTCTCTAGATCGGAACCAAAAACTTCAGTTGTTGTTGGAGTGGCCCTTTTACTAGAAGGGGCCTCTTGAGGTGATCTTGCCCGTTTAGTTGGACGCTTCTTTTTCCGGGCTAACCTAAACCCATCATCCCGCTCTGGGGCCTGCACATTTCTACAGTCCTCCCTGTCGCAGACTAGGGAGGGAGGGCCATTCATGCCCTTACAGAGGGCACACTCCAACACTCTAAAGGGAGAATCACATGATATAGTGGATTTGCATGAGAAACAACAAATACTTGGATGAAACGGGCCAGATGGCCGCTTACATTTCGAACAAGGAGTTATGGGTAATTCCTTGTCCGGTTCTGAGGGTTCTGATCTAGGGGATTCTCTGGCTGGTCTCTCCTCCGCTGCTGGTGGTGCTGCTGCAGAGGGAGTGGAGGATGATGTGCTCCAGGCACGGTCTGGTTGCACTTTGTTTGCAAAGGACTTGGGGCAGGCTCGAAAGCCATGCCCCTCCTCCCCGCAGATGGTACACACTGTGCTATTGGGACACTCGTTGGCGATGTGTCCAACCTGCAAACATTTAAAACACTTGATGTTATTACATTCCTTTGCAAAGTGGCCCTCTTGGCCACACCGGGCACAAGTGCGGATCTGGCCTGGATAGGAGATCCAGGCGTTCCTGTCTCCTATGCGGATAACAGTAGGGATGGGCTTGTTGATCCGCATCCTATACTGTCTAGTCCCGTTAAAAACGGTTGGGTTGTCCCCATATGTAGTGAAACGGCCGGCAATCACCTGGCCGTACCTACCCAGAATGTTTCGAACTATACTGTCGTGCATAGACAAACTAACATAATGAACTGTTACTATCATAACATCGTTGAACTTCGTGACAGTGCATTTATCTAGAGTAGTTACTTTGGGGTAAAACTCTTTACACAAAACCGAGGACTTATACACTATCTCAAATTTGTTACCTGGCAATGGCTGGATAGCTGCCAGGTGATCCTTTGCTACAACACCAATATCGTGGAGCTTAGTAAACAGCGACTTGGGGGCCGTCTGCTCTTCAAATTGAACCTCCATAGCTCTGTCTCTATGCATGGCACTAACGGCCATTATACTCTCTGCTAAGAAAACACTTGTAGAAGAAAATTATAGAGCAAGAAGAATATTGTCAGTCACAACTGCTGACTGACAGTAAATAAAATTCAAACTACTTGAACGGCCAACTAGAAATATATGTACAAAATGGAGAAGAACGAAGCTATCTGCTTCTTCTACTTCCCCCGGGAAGAGCTACTTGCTAAAAGGATCAAAGGGAAAACCCAGGAAGAGCAAACTTCTAAACCTGGGGCTAAACAAGAAGAAAAAACACACTGTACCCCTAAGCTACCTGCTTAGAAGGGCTATATGAAAAAACAAAAATGGCGTTCTCCTTGAACAATAATACCTAACAGCACACGGACTTTTACGTGTGCTGAGTAGGGGAAAAGAACAAAAAGGCTACTTCACGGGACAGTGCACCTGCACACACCCCGTGCAAAAAGGATAGGGCCGTACAACTGCTACGGCCCCAACAAAAAGGACGAGAACAAAGGACCACTGGGCTGTGGCAACCAGTGCACACAGCCCACTACAAAAATGGAATAAAAACCCTGAAAATATTGCTTAAAAATACCCCAATAAAATAGAAAAAGAGACCAGCTAGGTCTACAATACTAATGTAAACTTACGGTAAGGGCAAAGAACGCTAGGAAAATCTCTAAAAGCAGTAAAAGGCGAAATTCTCGCAGCTCGTAGAGACACACGTCCGGCAGTATATATTTCGGTTGTGTACTATAAGAACCTAGCAAACCAGTTGTGTAAAAAAATGAACAAGTTGAGTAATATTATACACAACGGTTTATACAACAGGTTGCTAGGTTCATATAGTACACAACCGTTTGATTTTTACACAACCGAAATAACAGTATTCAACATCTACAAAAATTACATTTGCAACCATGTACTGACCTAACTTCAACCGTGAAATCCGAACGTTGGAACGACGGTCAGATAGACGTCAATTTTGACCTCACACAGACGTTATAATTTGGTCATTTTTCGACGTCTTAATAACTTCAACCTGGACGTCCTGTCGACGTCCATTTAACCAGACAAATCATGATCAGACTGACGTCATAATTTGACTATATACGGACGTTAGATTTCGGTCAAGTTTTCGACGTCTAAAAAACTTACACTTACAACCACGACGGCAACCAAAAAACAACGTCGGAGTTGGTCAGAATCTGACGTCTGATAGACGTTATATCGACCAAAAATGCCTGCTGGGTTAACGATACAAAACAGTCAACTCCACCCACCCGCTAGTTGTTATAATAGTTATAAATATATTATTGGTGAAAACGGTAGTCCCCAGTCCGCAAGCAACCGTCGGACCACCGGTGGCTGGGGGAGCGGCTTGTCGGCATCGGCCCGCCGACCCAAACCATCAGTGGCCTGCCACTTCAAAACCGCCAGCGGACCAGCGGCATACCGCCGGCGGTCTACCGCTCGAGCAGAGGCAGTCAGCGGCATACCACCAATGGTCTGCCGCTCAAAAACCGCCAGCGGACCAGCAGCGGAAATCAGCAGCATATACCACCAGTGGCCTGCCGCTCCAAAACCGCCAGCGGACCACCAGCGGCAATCAGCAGCAGTTCCAGTATGATATTTCAACATTGTAACTGGGACTTTTTCTCATATTTTGAGGCTTAAGTCGTATTTAAGGAAACTGTAAACAATTTGCCTGAGGTCAAGGGTAGACATAGGGTAGACATCCATTCTAACTATGATACGGACCCAATAAATATACTAAATCACCCCAGTACAATTCCACTCACCAACTCAACTAGCTCTATGTGTTTCCTGCGACGCTGGTCGCCGTTAGCGCAGCTTGACACTTGTTCTCGGCCTGAGATCGGCGAAACTCTTACTCGTAAACACCCTGGCAAATACTCTAGCGAAAACTATGGCGCAGGCTCTGGCGTCGAACTCTCGCGTTAGACTGACACAAGCAATGCAGTAAGCGCCCAGACCTAGGGCAATGCAAGCTGGTGATTGGCCCACGCGCGGCATGCATTATTCATGTGCATTGCCAATAGCCTAGACTCCATTACAAGTCTGTATATACATGTACCCCAACCTCGACCCCAGGGTGTCGAGCAGTACGCGCTCATCACTACCTGCTCTCTCACCCTGATATTGGATCATTTGCATGTGCAAGATTTTTGAACACGTATGCAAATGAGGAATAGTCTGGTGCCTGCATGTGCGTTACATTATCGTTCGTTTTTGTATGCGGTGTCTGGGGTAAAAACAGAGTCAATTCGTCACAGCGCGAGCACAGCGTGAGTTACGAAAACGCGATTTATTTAATTTAACTGTTACGACCTTATCGAGACAACATGAAGAATCACATTTCATATTAATATAAACAAATTGGAAAAGGAAAGGAATGTTTTTGAGAAGGCGTGGACGAATGATCGTAAAAACACGTACGGCACGTTGTGAATAACAACACCAAGTACACGATAAAAATCCATTACTAGCCAATTGCGATATCGAATCAGGATACAGGAAGAAAGTTTACTATCCAGGGTTTACTATTGGAAACACGGTCGGAAATAAAGTAAGCACTGGTGACGAGGTTGTATGTACCCAGTTTCGCCACAATATTATTGAGGGCGCCCTATATGCTATCCAAGTAAGCCAAATGAATATGCAAACCACAAGAGGGCGCTAGTCAGCACAATCAATACAGCTAGCTACTACTTTGTGACACACAGTCAACAGTTTTAAAACATTTTATATTGTAAACTTCATGCAATTCAGCCTTCGGGCTGCCAATTGAATGTAAATAAACCAATAATTACTATAATAAGTTATATGTTTCACCACTTTGAATCTTTCAAAAGTCACATTTTTTGGATTTTAGTCCTGTTAATGTCAAAAATGTTTGTCAGCGGGCGTTGTAGCGTTACAAATAATTGTTCGAATTCATATTACTAGTTTCTTCATTGATTTTTTTACATGTTTGTAAAATAAACAACGTTCATTGAAGTGTGCTACAAATGCCAACAAAGTCGTAAGTCAATTAAAATACTCTTTATTGATTCGTTCATTTTCAAACTGCATGGATATTCATGACCAAAATATGATGTATATTGTAGCTTAATAATTGGAACCTATCGTAATGGTTGTATTGTTTTTCATATTTATTGTTACAGATTAAACGAAGTTATCACCAGTCGTGTGATGTCGGTGACCAAATTATTTATAGCACAGCCGCCGCCGTCGGTATCTTCTACAGTTTAATGACTTTGAACCAATGCCAGTGTGGATGCCGTCCTGTATTCCACACTTGCTGTCCAAGATTGGTTTGAAGTTCAGTTGCCCGACAGCTGATTGAAGTGTCGACGCCAGAAGTTGGCCCACTACCTGACTACTTGGCCCGAAGTTAATTGCTGTCTACTTGAGCACTACCAGTGAGCAGTTGAGGTTCCCCCCCCCAAGATCCAGTTATCCAGTGCTTGGAGCAGTGCAGAGAGAGTCTTTCTTCCTCAGTTGACCCGTGTACATTGAGGAGCAGTTTGGAGAGCCGTCATGGACGTGTTCCGACCGGCCGTGGGAGCAGAGACAGGTGATTTCCAGTCCATTCAACCCTACATGCGTGTTCCGTAGCGACCTCAAGTTCAAGGTACCGGCATCCTTTCAAGAAGAACAGCCGTGCCGCCTGATCAACTGTTAACAGTTAACTGCATGAACTCTAGGTGACCATTGACCAATGAACTGGTTTATTGTGAATTTCTTTCGGTCACAAAATATATTAAAATTTTGTTTCCAAGTTTAACCGTTCTTTGCTATGTTTTGCATTGCTATTTCGGTTTATTCTTATTTGCCATATCATTTTGCTGTGTCATAATTACAACTAATATTGCCCTGTCTTGTGTATTTGCCATATTGCTAGTAGTAGTACCTGTTGGCCTACCTGTGTAATGAAATATTTGGCTTTCTGAAAATTAAGTTTTTGCACAAAAGAACATAATGTCGGAGACTACTAGGTCAGGTTACAGGAGTGAATCCGGCACACATGCAAGCGTTACTAGCAAGCGTGCCAGGGTCAAAACCGCCACAGCGAAAGCCAGGTTAATGGCAGAAGCGAAACGCTTAGAAGAGAAAAGGTTAATAGAACAGGAGGAGTTGAAGATGCAACAGAGAAGGAGGGAGTTTGATCTACAAGTAGAGCTGGACAAGGTCACAGCGGAGGAAAAAGTTCTGGATGAGCTTGAAGGTGAACCTCCGCCCATCGAAGCATCTCATCAGGAGAAAAGGTCAAGCTTTGGCTTGGAGACGAACATCAGTCACCAGAGGCATGTCCGTCCATACTGAGTCTCGTCGGAAGTCTACATGAGGCTAACCCACTTGTACACAACCCTACTCTTCCAGTTTTTCCCTCACCCGACTGCCCTGCATCAAACCTGCAGCGCCAGATGATTGACACGATGCTTCTGCCTAAATGCGAGCTCGTCAAGTTTAATGGTGATCCGCTGGATTACTGGGTTTTCATCCAGAGCTTCGATGGAGCCGTTGGAAACACTAGTGTTGGCGCTAACGCTAAGCTCAATCGACTCTTCCAGTACTGCGAAGGAGAAGCTTTGGAAGTCATCCGTTGTTGCGCCATGATGCAGCCGGATGAAGGTTACGCCAAGGCCAGAGAACTGCTTCGCGAGCGTTTCGGAAATGATTATAGAATTTCCGAGACCTGGGTAAGAAGACTTACAGAAGGTCAACAGATCATGCCAGGAGACTGCAGAGCCGTTCAGAAAATGGCGGATGAATTGAGAAGCTGTACACTTGCACTAAAGGCTATGGACAAGTTGGACGAGATCGATACCAAGAGGAGTCTAGCTTTAATTATGAAGAAACTCCCACAGTACCTTCAGTCGAAGTGGCGTTCCATGGCAGTGCAGCACCTCGATGAGACCGGTCGTTACCCTAGCATCAACAAGCTTGTGAAGTTTACCAGCAAGGCCGCTCGGGACGCGAATGACCCAATTTATGGTCTAGAGGAGCGCAACGGCAGAAAAAAGTTTACTCCAAAGAAGGGAGCAAACTTCAATGTACAGTGCCCCCGATGAAAAGGCCAGAAGCAAGCCAAGATCATCGAATCAACGAGCGAGCAAAGCTAATGATTTCACCTCTGCAGTGAAGAGTACAATTTGTCCATTTTGCTCGGGAGGCCATTCCATTGTCACCTGTACAAGTTTCCGTAAGATGACCCCTGCTGATCGACTGAAAGTGGCAAGAGACAAGAGACTGTGCTTCATCTGTCTCACCATTAAGCGGCACTTTGCCGGAGAATGTGACCAAGCTTCCTGTGATGTGCCTGGATGTACGACAAGCATTCAAGACTGCTGCATGGTGCTTTCCTAGCATCGATTCCGAGTGGAGAGCGTGAGAACACGCCTAAGAAAAGCGTTGACGCCCAGACGATCGGAGCCACCAGTTTTGTGTATGGCTCAGACGAGAAAGAGCGATCTAAAGTGGCCTTACCGGTGGTTCAAGACCTTGTGAGAGCCAACGGTAAGGAAGATCCCGTCAGGACCTACGCTCTACTTGACCCTGGGAGCAACAAAAGTTTCTGCTCCATGGAGCTGATAAAGATGCTAGACATAGAAGGCAGTCCACAACCCCTTACCCTTGACACCCTCAGCAAGAGTTCACAAGTGGGGACACTCGAAGTTGCTCTTAGCATATCTGGCGTGAAGAGTAGCCGAGACAATGTGTTTCATCTACCTCGAGTGTACGCCTTGAAAGATTTTCCGTCACTGCGAGATAGTTGTGCTACGAGTGAAGATCTGAGCAGTTACAGACATCTCAGAGACATTCCAGTTCCAAGAGTATCCACGGAAGGTGTAACCATCCTGATAGGCCAAGATGCACCAGGGATGTTGATCCCCCTCGAAGTAAGGCATGCCAACGAGGGAGAGCCCTACGCAGTGCGAACGTCTCTTGGATGGACGATTAATGGCCCAGTTGGAAGCAAGGTGACAGAGAAGGCTTTCTCTAACTTTGTGCAAGGGAATCTGGAGGCCCAGGTGGAAAGATTTTGGAAGATAGATAGCTCTGGAACATTGGCTGATGATTCCCGTGCTGCATCGGTTGATGATATGAAGGCAATTAACATCTGGAATGAGTCAGTCAGCTTGGTGAATGATCACTATCAGCTAGCTATACCCTTCAAGTCAGATCCCCCGAACCTTGTGGATAACAGGCCCATGGTGGAATGGCGCCTGAGGAGTCTTGGCAAACGATTGTCCAAGAACACCGAGCTTCACGAAAGATACAAGAAGGAGATCGATAACTTGCTGGAACGAGGTTTTGCAGAGAAGGTACAAGATGTGGAACTAGATGCTGCACCCGGACGGTGTTGGTATCTGCCACACCATTGTTTCATCAATCCCAACAAGCCAGAGAAGTTGAGGATTGTGTTTGATTGCGCCGCTAAAAGTCAAGGCAAGTCTTTGAATGACATGGTCTTACAGGGGCCGGACTTGATGAACCGACTCGTTGGTGTTCTCGTGCGATTTCGTGAGCACCCAGTTAGAATAATGGCAAATGTTCCATCAGGTGCGGGTTCAAAAACAGGACAGAGACGCCCTGAGATTCCTTTGGTGGCCAGACGGTGATACCGTTAAATCCCCGACGTGTATCGCATGGCAGTGCACCTGTTTGGAGGCGTGTGGAGCCCCAGTTGTGCCAACTTTGCCCTCAGACGGACGGCAGAAGATAATGTTGACGACTTCAATGCTGATGTTGTGGCTACAGTGAAGGAGAACTTCTTCGTGGACGACTGCCTGAAGTCCCTAGATTCCGAGGGTGAAGCAGTTGAGACGGTGAAGCAGTTGACTGACATACTGGCGAAGGGAGGTTTCCGCCTGACAAAGTGGATTAGCAATAGCAGAAGAGTAATTGAATCTGTGCCGCCGGAAGAGAGAGCCAAGGGTGTCAAGAACCTTGATCTTAGTCAAGAAGATCTACCTGTTGAGAGAGCGTTGGGAGTCCATTGGGATACTGAGCACGACTAACTCAGAATCGCCACATTCTCACTTGAAATCGCCACATTGATGTTTTATGTAGTAAAATTTCTAAAAATTGTTGGGTTTATGAATCGTCTGAAGAATTGTGTACCTAAAAACATTCTTTTAACATTATATAATTCCTTTATTCTTTCATACTTGAATTATGACCTACTTTCTTTTGGGGGATCTTCAACTGTACATGGCTCCAACAAACTTTTTAAGTTGCAGAAGAAAGCTGTTCGTATTGTAAATAATGCAGGTTACTTTGATCATACCACTCCTTTATTTGCCAAACTTAATATTCTGAAACTGAATGATCTCTACCACCACTGACTGGGTATACTTATGTTTAAATATACTCACAACATGCTCCCTCCAATTTTTAATCATCTATTCTCATTTACTTCTTCTGTTCATTCATATGAAACACGTAGTTCATCGAAAGGTGATCTGTTTGTGAGAAAAAATAGAACTTCCTTTTTTAGAAACAGTCCATTTCAACGTGGTGTCATATACTGGAATGAACTCAATATTGGTTTAAAAGAGTGTACTACTGTGGTTTCATTTGCTAAAAAAATTGAAAAAAAATCGATTATCAATACTTACACTTTTACTTAAAAAACATTTTCTTCTCTGCTTTGCTTAGTCATTATTTTACATATTGTACCGGGTCTCACTCTTAAACATATTGTCCTGTCTTAGTCCGTGTGTAGTTAGTGGTTTAAGTTTTGTCCTGTCCCAGGGATAGGTACAAAAGCAGTGCTTCACCTTTTTCCTTTATGTTGACATTATTTAATATTTACACTTAATTGCATACTGTCTGTGAAGAATGTTTTGTTTATACATATATATACTGTTTTTCTGTCTGAATTGTTACCGAGGATGTCAATGTGAAAATAACTGTCGAATTGATTGAGAATGAAGATCAAGTCAAAACCTGGTAGTCAGACAAGAAGAGGCTTACTGAGCGTCATCTGCTCAGTGTATGACCCATTGGGGTTTGTTTGCCCGTACGTCCTTCGGGCGAAACTCTTCTTTCAGAACGAGTGCCGAATCGTTGGCAAGAGCTGGGATGATCCCTTAGAGGCCGAAACTCAGGATCACTGGGCGAAGTGGTTAGATGAGCTTCCTCTTTTGAACAAGTTTGCTGTTGAAAGATGCCTCGTGCCAAGCAACTTCGGAGAGATAAGTGAATGCCGTTTGCATCACTTTTAAGATGACTCTCAAGATGCGTATTAGAGTGTATCTTATGCTCTTTTTGTCAATTCTGCGGGAGAAGTCCACTGTAGTTTCCTGATAGGAAAATCACGCCTGGCACCTTTGAAGACGATGACGATACCCAGACTGGAGCTTTCTGCAGCAGTAGTAGCTGTAAAGATGGAGCAGATGCTACGAAGGGAGCTGAAACTGAACGTCTGCGGGTCCACGTTCTGGACTGACAGCATGCGTGTGCTGCAGTACATCAAGAACACATCAAAGCGCTTACACACGTTTGTAGCCAACAGGGTGGCTGTCATACATGATGGTTCATCTGTTGACCAGTGGCGATGTGTAAATACGGATCGAAATCCTGCTGATGACGCATCGATAGGCCTGGATGCACACAACATGATCTCCAAAGAAAGGTGGAGAAAGGGACCAGAATTCCTCTGGCAGGATGAGAAGAGTTGGCCAGTAACTCCTCAAGCTCCAAATCTTCTCGAGACGGACCGGGAAGTGAAAAAAGTAGCAGTGTCACGAGCTACGGGAGGCGCAGTGACAGCTGATCCCGTGGCAAGACTTATCAGCAAGTATTCCAGTTGGAACCGTCTAAAGAAGGCTGTGGCGTGGGTCCTGCGTTACAAGAAGTGGTTGATTGAACACAGATCTCGATCCATATGGAGTGGAAATCGACTGACCGCAGCAGAGATGGATGATGCAGAACTTGCTGTAACAAGATGCGTGCAAAGAACCAACTACGTGCAGGAGATCCGAGACTTAGAGAAGGGGAGACGTTCAGTCCAAAGGCAAAGTCCCATCTACAGTCTTGAGCCAATTATCGATGATAACGGTGTTCTGAGACTAGGTGGTAGGCTCAGACAAGCGCCCGTAGAGGAGAGTCGAAAGTTCCCTCGATTCTACCTAAGCATCATCATGTGTCAACCCTGATTGTTCGTCATGCACATGATACCCTGTCGGGTCATTCAGGCAAGGAACTTGTAATATCTGTAGTGAGACAGCAGTATTGGATTCCGAAGGCCCGGTCACTGATCAAGAATATCTTGAAGGCATGTGTTGTCTGCAAGAGACTGCAGGGAACACCACAGAAACAACGGATGGCAGATCTTCCCGAATGCAGAGTTACTCCAGGAAAACCTCCATTCAGTTATGTGGGTGTTGATTGTTTTTGGGCCTTTCTATGTGAAACGTGGTAGGAGTAAAGAGAAATGCTATGGATGTCTCTTCACGTGCCTCTCCACAAGAGCCATACACCTTGAGAGTCTCCATTCACCGGAGACAGATTCATTTCTGAATGCCTTCATGAGGTTAGCAGCTAGACGAGGTACACCAGAGAAAGTGCTCTCTGACAACGGAACCAACTTTGCTGGAGGCGAGAAAGAAATAAGACAGGCCATCTCCCAACTCGAGAAGGATAGTCAGTCGCATGGATTCTCCCTTGTCAAGCACATTGAATGCAAGTTCAATCCACCTGCAGCTTCGCACATGGGTGGTGTCTGGGAACGGCCAATACGGACCGTACGGAAGGTGCTAGTTATTATTATTATTATTATTAATCATTTCTGGTAATGAAACCAAGGATTCCTCAAAAGCGCCCTAGGCACTGTAGCTCGCAAGCCTGAAGAAACCTGTGGAGAGAAGACAATGAGAAGAAGTTACAGTTTTAGAGGCGGGAGGAAAAGCCCAGAAGAATATTCTGGGGAAAACCCACGGAATCAGGCAGGGACTGAAAACCCAATCCACATATTGGCCCAGGCGGGATTCGAACCCGGGTCACAGCGGTGGAAGGCGACGAAAGTACCGCTACGCCAACCTGACTCCCCAGGAGCACTTCTGAAAGACCAAGTTCTAGATAACGAGCGCCTGGGTACCATATTTTGTGTAGCCGAAGCCATAGTCAATGATCGGCCTATCACCGCTGTCTCTGATGACCCGAATGATTTGGAGGCCCTCACGCCGAGTCATCAGCTCAAATTCAGACCTGGGCAAATTCAGACTTACCAACCGTGCAGCGGCGGCAAAGATGGATTGAGCCACAAAGAAACATCAAGTCAGGCGATATTGTGTTGGTCAGAGACGACAACACTACTCGAGGCCAGTGGCCACTGGCACAAGTAACGAGGACTTTCCCTGGCGTAGATGGACTGGTACGCACAATGGAAGTTCTGACACGCGGTGGCATCCTCAAGAGGCCAATTACCAAACTTTGCCTTCTAGAAGGTGAACTGGATTGAAGATATCAGCAACTGAGCTTTACTCTACCAATTATAACTAAAGTTTTGTTTTGCTTTTTGGATTTCTGGTTGACTGAACATTTGTAAAGAATTTGAATCACTTAAGCCTTTTGTTGGAGTATTTTTTAATGTTAAACTGCATAAATTTAGTCATTGTTATATTTGTTATTAATTGATTAATGGTTAATTGAATGTGTCAATGTTGGCCTGTAGAGCAACATTTAAGGGGCCGTGAATGTCAAAAATGTTTGTCAGCGGGCGTTGTAGCGCGCGCGCCTGGCGCACGCACGCCTTTGCGCGTGTGCGCTGCGCTTACAAATAATTGTTCGAATTCATATTACTAGTTTCTTCATTGATTTTTCACATTTTTGTAAAATAAACAATGTTCATAGAAGTGTGCTACAAATGCCAACAAAGTCGTAAGTAAATTAAAATACTCTTTATTGATTCGTTCATTTTCAAACTACATGGATATTCATGACCAAAATATGATGTATATTGTTAAGGGAATAAATGTGTGCTCCGGAGGTTTTTATCACTCTGTTTAATACCACTTAGAGTCTGGGTGCTGATAATTACCCGAGCCGGAGGCGAGGGTATTTATCAGCACCCAGACTCTAAGTGGTCTTAAACAGAGTGATAAATACCGACGGAGCACATATTTATTCCCATTCATAAATACCTTTTCGGTAAAAAAAAATCATATAATTCGTTCAAAACATCCCGATTTTGTTCAACAAATTCACTTTATGCTTTTTGAAACATCCCTCCTGCAAAATAATGGAGTGTTCAGCTGGCGAGTAAGATGAAAACAACCCTTTTATGGAGATTGACGAGCGCGTATCATGTTCTACGCGAAGTAGCGCAGAACGCACCTGGCGCGTTGTGTTTTGAATTTAGAACTATAAAATTCTAACTCCCTGGAAGTGTTGCGCATGCCTACGTGAGGATTGTGAACGTTCAACCAATGAAACGACAAGAGGCACTGGATTTTTAGGAGTCCACATTTTATTGTGACACTGGAAAAGTGTTTAAGACCAGCTAGCCATGTCTTTATCATCCGTTTAATACCGGCCACGTGACGGGCTCTCGACCATTAGGAATGGCTAAACTGTCTGAGGTATTTATGAATGCTTATTAATTGGAACCTATCGTAATGTTTGTATTGTTTTTCATATTTATTGTTACAGATTAAACGAAGTTATCACCAGTCGTGTGATGTCGGTGACCAAATTATTTATAGCACAGCGGCCGCCGTCGGTATCTTCTACAAGTCCCTTAATACTTTGTTTCCATGTCATAAATTTGATTCTATTAAAATTCTGAAAAAAAAAAAAAACTTTAAAGACGGGGGACATAATCACACGCGTCTGTATACATAAGGAACCATGGACACAGGCTCTGGCTTGAATGAAGAAAAAGTTGGAGTGTCTTGATTTTATACCCCACTACCGTAAGACCCACTTTAAACTAGCTTTATCTTCATCAACATAAAACTTAATATTTAAAAGCTTATAAGTTCGTAACTTAAGTATCTAGGTTGACAGTACCGCT